GGGGGGGTGCAGCAGGAAGAGCAGGCAGGCAGAGGGAACAGCATATGCAAGTATGGAGGTGAGACAGAGCATGGAGAGCCCATACTTGAGAGTGGGAAGACAGGTGGCTTGTTCTATTAGACAACAGTGTACACAGTATGGATTCTGAAGGTACTCTAGGGAGGTCAAGGGCTCTAGCAGCCCTCTTTATTTACTGTTTCATTTACTAATTTACTATTTAGCTAATTTTTAAAATCCTCACCTGAGGATTTTCCACTGATTTTTTTTAGAGAGAGTGGAGGGGAGGGAGAAGGGGAGGACCATTGATGTGAGAGAGACACATTGGTTGGTTGCCTCCTGCACACGCCTGCAACCGAGGTACTGTCCTTGAGCAGGAATTGAACCTGCGACCCTTTGGTCAGTGGGCCAACGATTTAACCACTGAGCCAAACTGGCCAGGGCAGTTTAGCTAATATTTATTGTCAATTACTGTATGCCAGGTCCTGTATTACGTTTTGAACAGGTATTATCTCATTAGGCTCTATATCCATTTGATGCAGTGGGCATTAATTTTTTAAATCAACTTTTAAAAACTTTGAAAGAATGAAAGAGGTATAATTTAACTTAAAAGTGTCCAGTTTGCAGGGTTTGAAAAAATGTCTACTCCTGTGTAACTACCATCATAATCAAAGATAAAGAAAATTTCCATCAAGGGTATTAATTTTAAAGATGATGAAACTAATGTTTAAAGAGTTTAAATATCTTTTCCAATGTTTAAAAGCCAGTAAATAACAGAATTAGAATTTGAAACCCTCCCCTCCTATTTCATAAACAGACAAATGTCTGTGAATGTTAAGTCTGAATATTATAAGACAATAGATTCTTTTTATTGATATATGCATTCAGCAAGTACTTACTAAGCTTTGTTCCATGCTTTTGCTTCAACAAAAGCAGGTCAACTTTTATCATTTTTACTTTGCAGCTCTCAGGAAAACCTTAGGTTTCATTTTTTTAAAAAAGGATCCTATGGAAAAAATAGCTTACAAATCTCTCTTCTATAGAGAGTAGGGAGCAAGGAATGTTTTTAAAAAATATGTTTTTATTGACTTTTTTAAAGAGGGAGGAAGGGAGAAGGAGAGAGAGATAGAAACATCTCAAGCCCACAACTCCGGCATGTGCCGTGACTGGGAATCGAACCAGCGACATCCTAGTGCATGGGACAACGCTCAACCAACTGAGCCACACGGGCCGGGCAGCAGTGAATGTTTTTTTTGTGTGGTTTTTTTTTTTTTGTATTTTTAAAAAAATAAATCTTTATTTCAGAGAGAGGAAAGGAGAAGGAGAGAGAGACAGGCAGAAACATCAATGATGAGAGAGTCATTGGGAACTGAGCCTGCAGCCCGGGCATGTGCCTTGACCGGGAATCGAACCTTGATCTCCTGGATCCTAGGTCAATGCTCAACCGCTGAGCCACGGCTGGCCGGGCAGCAATGAGTGTTTTTTAAGTGGAGGCAATGACACACTCAGACTTGGATTTTAGAAAGATCCCTTTGGTAGCTGTGCAAACAGATTAGACTAGGCAAGTGTGGACCTGGGGAGAGCACTGAGGAGGTTAGAATTGGGGGCCTGGACATAGGGAGGGCCCTGAGGCTGGAGGAAGAATCCACAGAGCACGGTGACTGCCGCTCAGCACTGAGCATCAGCTCCGGGAGGGCAGGGCTTGTTCTGTTCACTGCTGTATCCTAAGCGCCAAGGATGGTGCCTGGCACACAGTAAGCGCTTAGTAAACATTGTTGAGTGAATGAATGAGAGGTAGGAGTTGAGGCTGACACCCAGGTTCCTGACTTTGGTGGGAAACTAGGAGGAAGGGGACCACCGGGGTGTTTAGGACAGGTTGGGTTTGGAGCGCCTGTGGGGAGCTGGCTGTGCAGGTCTGGAGCTCCAGAGAGAGGGCAAGGCTGGAGGTGCATTTCAGTGTCCCTCAAACACAACGCCTGCCTCCTGAGAGGGACTCACCAAGTGTTAGCTGCCTTCCTTCCTGTAGGCCCCATCTCCCTACCTCAGTGACCCTTTTTGGAGCAAGGCACCTTGCCTGGGCTGGGCTGGGCTGGCCTGAGCTGGCCTGAGAAGGCTGGACGGGCGAGGGATGATGTACTTCATTATGGGTGTTGGGGAGCGGCCACCTTCACCATGCTCTCTCTTGTCGCCCTCAGAAATGCTACACTCCCCGCTGCCCTGCACTGGCTGCAAGCCGAGTGGGGACATTCCTGATGTCTTCATCAGCTATCGCCGGAACTCAGGCTCCCAGCTGGCCAGGTGAGGAGGAGCGGGCAGGCCGCAGCCTCGGGCCTTGGGGCGAGGCCAGGGCAGTGACACAGGACCTCTTCGCAGCCTCCTGAAGGTGCACCTGCAGCTGCATGGCTTCAGTGTCTTCATTGATGTGGAGAAACTGGAAGCAGGCAAGTTTGAGGACAAGCTCATCCAGAGCGTCATGGATGCCCGCAACTTTGTGCTGGTGCTGTCGGCCGGGGCACTGGACAAGTGCATGCAGGACCACGACTGCAAGGACTGGGTGCACAAGGTAAGTGCTGGCGCCTGTGGTCCCAGCATTGGCCTGCGGCCCGGGGGACAAGGCCCTCCTCCTATTCCTTCTCATCTGCACACCCCACTAACCTCCGTGGCCCAGGTGGAAGTCAGGAGGCACAGCTCTGACTGTAATAGGACTCTAGCAAGTCACTTAGGCTCTCTGAGCCAATTTTTCTCATTTACAAAACAGGGATACTTACCTGTCCTATTTACCTTGTAGAATTGTTGTGAGGGTCAGAGAGGGATGAAAATGCTTTGAAAAATAGCCTCCATGAGGGAAGAGGGGCAGGTCAGCACAGTGATAGGCACAATGGAATCATTAAGAACACAAAGCTAGCCTGACCAAGTGGCTCAGTTGGTTGGAGTATTGTCTTGTAGACCAAAAGTGGCAGGTTCAACTCCCAGTCAGGACTCATACCTAGATTTTGGGTTCGATCCCCGGTCGGAGAGGCAACCGATTGATGTTTCTCACATGGATATTTCTCTCTCTTTCTCTCTCCCTTCCTCTCTCTCTAAAATCAATAAAAACATACTTTCGGGTGAGATTTTTTTTAAAAAGAGCACAAGGCTATGAGTTTGAATCCTGGCTCTGGCCTTGAGCAAGTTACTTCCTCTCAATGAGCTTTGTGTTTATTACTGTAAAGTGGATAATTATAGTACCTAACTCCCTAGGATATTGTTATAGGGATTAAAAGAGCTAAAATTTATGAAGCGCTTAGCAGAACATCTGGCTCTATAGTAATTGTTCTATGATGGTAGCGATTACTAGTATTAATATAATTATTATGAGCACTGTTTAACTCACCATTGTATCTCCAAGTGCCTGACACATAGTAGAAACTTACTGAATACTTTAGAACAGATGGATGGATGGAGCCATATCACATCTGCAGGTTATTATTCATTAATCAATGAGTAGGAATTGGGGCCAGGGCTGAGGGATACAACAGTCATCTGAGATGGGGCCCTTGTCCTAAAGCAGCTAAGGAAGCAAGACTATGCCCAGAATGACTAGATCATATATAAGTTGGTGTCATATATAAGCCGGGCAGATGAACCTCTTACCTGCCCTAGGACTATGGAAAATGGAAAAAATATTAAGGGCAGGAATAATCAGGGAAGGCTTCATGGAGGAGACAGGACTTGAGAAGAGCCTCAAGAATTTAGGTAAGTGGAAGAGAAGGCATCCCTGGCAGGGGAACAGCATGAGCAAAGATCGAAAGAAGGGATGAGAAAGGCGCCAAAAACCTATGTGCATCACTGCTATTGCTCTCCCCGTCTCACAGATAAAGAAACTAAGGCTCAGAGGAGTAGGATAGCTTTTGCCATGGCCACACTGGTGTAGAAATCAGAAAAGCTGGACCTTGAGCTCCGTCTCTCTGACTCCAAAGCCCATGCTCTTTCCCAGGACCTGTGTTTCCTGGCACAGATCTGAGGGTGTTTGTGGGAGGTGGTGGGACAGGGCTGGGTTCAGCTGACACCAGATGATTGTCTGCATTTCTTCCCAACTCTACATTCAGCGATGTTACATTGGTAGCTTAAAGTCAGCCATGGTGGGAGTATTTACAGTAAGGAAATCAGTAAATACTACAAATTGGGGTTTTATTTGTTGGTTTGTTATTGTTTTTCTCCCTGGATAGCTAGCTAAGCATTTATCAGCCCACCATGGGCTGGATAGGAACTGTGGAATGAGGTTGCAGAGGCCTAATGTGCTTACAGCACTGAGAAAAGAGCTCCCATGAGTGCGGTGATGCCCCCCTGGTGGGTTTTGAGGAGAAGGCTCTGACGCTAGAGTGCAGTCCAGACTGGCAGTGGGAAAGGGGGTCAAGCCCCAGAGCTGTGTTTTAGGGGTTGAGTACTGGGCTTGGTTTGGGGATGGGGTGCTGATCTGTCAGCCTGGAGGATGATGTCTGAAGGCCTAGAGCAGGTGGCAGGTGGCCTTTTGAGAGAGAGAAGTGCCTGTGATCTCCATGAGAGCTCAGATCCTGCCTTATTCACACTGTGTCCCTGATGCCTAAAACCATGCATGGTACAAAGTAGGCCCTTGAAGATTTTATAGAATAACTGAATCGGTGATAAAACAGATTAGTGATTCTGATGAAGCTGAGATGACTGGGGAAACCGTAGATATCAATTAGGTTTACAAGAAGACTCATCTCTAATCAAGTTCTTCACCAGCTGCGTGATCTTGAATAAGCCATTTTTCCTCTCTTGGCCAGCCTCTGAATCTGTGTAATGAGCAGTGTGTGTCTTTGGTTCTGTGTAATTCTGGATGAAGCAAATGTCTAAAGGATTCCAAATCAATTGCTGCAGGGTCAGAATTCATCCAGATTCTCAGTAGAGAGGCAGAGGGCTTGGTTGAAACAACCCTGGACCTGGAATCTGAAGGCATGAGTCAAAGCCTGGCACCTCCTCAGCTGGGGGAGGGGGGGCGACTTGGAGCAAGTCCCTTCCCCTCTCTGGGCCTCCTCCTTCTCATTTGCAAAGTGGAGAGGTTCCCCCAGATGTCAATCAAGGTTGAAGTTATGCAGGTACTTTCCCCACAAAGGCTGTGCTCAAGGGTCTTGGCACCTACTGTTTCCCCAGCAAACTGCAAGGAGGGAGGAGGCAGGCGGGGTGGTGGGAGCCTTTGCCTTGGACCAGTCCCAAAGGCTCCATCATCCCTCCTTGGTTGTTTTTAGTGCTTAATTGCCTTTGGTTTTAAAACTCCTTTCCCTGAAGCCACATTTAGTGGGTAATCAATATGGAAAACCACAAGTGAACTGCACTCAGGGAAGTCCAATCCCTGTGGTTCTCCCTTGAAAGAAAAAAAACCCAAAACATTAAATAAGCATTTACCAGAGCACTCATTAATAGTAAGTAATATTCTCAGAACAACCTTGCGAGATAGGTTTATTATCCCCACTTTACAGAAAAGGAAATAATGGCACCTATTATTTATTAAGCATGAACTACCTGCTAGGCGCTGTTCTAACCACTTGCCATAGGGTATCATAGTCATTCCTTCCAATGATCCTACAAGATAGGGACTGTCATTAACTCTGTTTTACATATGAGAAAACAGAGGCTTGAGAGCTAGTTGCTTTTGCCTCAGGTCACAAAGCCTGTGTCAGAGACTCAATGTGACCCAGATCTGATGATTCCAGAGTGCACTCCCTAACTACTATGCTATGTTGTCTCCATTCATTCATTCA